AAAATGATTTCTATTTCCTTTAGGCTATGTACCAGTGAATGGGATCGCTGGGGTAAAGAGGTTATTTCAGCTCGATATCTTTGAGGCATTACCCACACGTCTTCCACAAATGGTTTGAACTATTTACAGTCCACCAACATTGTAAAGCTTCTTCCCAGTACTTGCCAGCATCTTGTTGGTTTTGACTTTTTAATAACCACCTTCTGGCGGGCGCGGTGGCTCCAAGCCTGTAATCCAGCACTTTGGTGAGGCCGAGACCGTGATCAGAGGTCAGGAGATCGAGATATCGCTGGTAATGGGAACCGATCTATCTAAAAACAAAAAACCTAGGCCGGGCTGCGGTGGCGGGCGCCTGTGTCTCAGTACTTGGTGCGGCTGAAGGCGGCCTCGGAGAATGGCGTGAACCGGAGATGGGAGCCTTGCAGTTGAGGCGAAGCACCGCACTGCACTCCAGCCTGGAGCAACAGCGGACTCCGTTCAAAAAAAAAAAAAAAAAAAAAAACCACCATCTGCTGCCATGAGCATGTATATATGTGGTTTGTTGCATGGTCTTAATGATCATGAATGCTGAACTTTTTTTCATGTTTGTTGGCAGCATGATGTAAAACACCCCATGTCTTTATGTGCCGGGACATGGTTTAAATACAACATGGTATCCTTGCAAATATATTTCATATTGTTTTTCTTTAGCTCTTTTAAAATTACTTATCATTGGTTATATTGCTAAAAGATAGTTCTGCATCAATTTTGTTCTTTATCTATATGCATTTGTTTTGTAACTATCGTATCTTTAATATGGAGAGGAATGGGAGAAAGGAATGGATAAGGAATGAGGGGCAGGAGAAATTAAATGAGAGGGCCAGGCTCATACGGGTAATGGTCACTATGTGAATGAGAAAACAATGAACTCTGCCCTCTCTGTAAATAATTTCCTTTATCATTAAAAAAAATTATGTAAGTACCTTTTTGAAAAGGGCACCATTACTGATAGACTGACTCCAGATCCCTATTGTCTTCAAAGTAAAGTCTAAGGTGCTAAACTTTGAACACATGGCCCTTGAGATCCGGTCCTGGCTGGAATCCCCAGCTACAGTTCCCACTACCTACGTCGCTCTCCATCCAGTCCACAGTGTGGCCACAAGGAACTGCCTGTGGTTCTCTCCTCTGTCACATCTAGCACTTGGTATTGTGTCCCCAATGCTGAGGCCATTCTGTTCTCCACAAGCCTCGTTCCTTCCTTTCTCTCTTACCCTTTACCACTGCCAGGACAACTTTCACTGATCCATCAGGTCTCACTAAGTGCCTTCTCTTCCTGCCTCCTAATACCCTCCCCAAGAATAAGTGAGATGCCTCCAATTTCACCAGCTAGAGGAACCAGTCAGTTCCTTGAGGGAAGAATAGCATCTAGTAATTCACCACTATATTGTCAAAAAATAACAATGGCTTCACCGAGTACTAACTATGCTGAGCACTGGACTGAGCAGTTAATGCAAATGACCTCTTTCAGCCCTCCAACAGCATTAAGGGTAAGTATTATTGAGTCACCCACATTTTACAGAGGAAGAATGTAGAGTCGAGAGAGATCAAGTACCTGCCTATGATGACATGACTAGCAAGTGGCTGAGCAGGAATTCCAACCTGGGCCTTAGGACTCCAGAGATTGAGCTCTTCACCTTCCTTCCCTCCCTGGTGTCCCCATGCCTGGGACAAAGTAATATGGAAACATAGCGTGTGTTCAGCAAATATTTTTTGAGTAAATATTTATGCAGATAGCTAGGCAGTCGTGGCTTGTGGTATTCCCAATTTTATAAATCAAAACAAATTGATTATATCCAGTTGATCATAAAATAGTCTGTGAATTACTTGCAGTGCTAGTCTGTACTAGTTAGTCTAACAAGAGACAAGCAGGTTGTTCTTCAAACAATAAAAAGGGAGCAGCAACTTTAACACCTCTGAGTAGAAAATTTGCGACTCTTCTAAATGGTGGAAACAATAGATGTTTGGTTTTTAGTAAAAAGAGAAAAAAGAAACTGGGTGGAGCACAGGAGAAGAAGTCAGTGCCAAATAACCTTTAGGAATGCTTCGTGGTAATTAGAGCAGACATTGTATCAAAGGTAGTGGAATAATATTTTCTCCTCTATATTATTAGAAACCTGTAAGATTGCTTCTTTCAAAACAAAATTAAAATCCATGTTTATCACCATTTTTCTCAGGAGAAATGGTTGTTCTCTTTTACCAAATTTTCCTGCCATCAAATGCTCATCGAGTGACAATAGAGAAAGCACCACAGTCCTCAAGCATCAGATCGGGAGAAGAGTTCGCTCTCAAGTGCATCTACTATGTAGAAAGGGGACCAGGGAGTATGAGTAGCACTGAATCATTCTTTCTGGGAAGAATATTCCCTTTCTGTTCTCTCGTAACCAACCCAACCTAAAATTGAACTGTAGTTGGCAGTGTGACAAAAAGGCACACATAAACCTGTGAGCTCTGCCCATTATAGGATAAGAATGACTGAAGCTATTGAGGAAGGAAAAAGGGCAGCCCCTGACACCCAGAAGCTGGCCTGGCTCTCATAGGCAGACCCTGTGATTCTCCTATTAGACATGAACCATCTCACAGAAAACCAGCCTCTGACCAGGCTACTTTGAGACTATGATTAAATAAGACCAAGCAAGGCCAATTCATAATTTTGTCTAAGCACAGACAAAAGCAAGTCACTGTACCACCCACGAAATACCAAACACCCTATCTCTTGGCCAAAATGAGTGCTACTTCTTTACCAATGACAACTTTATTCTCACTATAATTTCCCCTTCCTATAAGAGTAAGTGAGATCCCCCATTACCGAATTACTCCGCTTTCTAACAGCATCCAATCTAGAGGGAATCCCTGCTGCCTTTGACTCTGCCTCAAATCACCCAATCAAAGCCCAGATCCTATAAGGTCCTTTCTAACACCCTCTTACTGAAACACCCGTGATTCCCGTGACGTGTGTTCTCCCTCGCTGCAACAAGTAATGAACCAAATGTGTTCAACTACAGGTGACTTCCCGGCTTCCTTGGCTGAAGAGTATTGATGCTATGTTTACACATTTCCATATGCGTATATGTGTGTATAGAGTTATAAGTGTTACATTTATTTATATAAAATCAAGGTAACTAGAAATTCAGGCAATTCAAACTCCAAAGTATACTTTTCTGGCTGAAGTATCTGTAGAGACAGACTACCAGAATTAAATCAGATAATCAGATAATTACATATTTTGCTGCCTGGCACCCTAGTAACCATCATACAATTCATATAATTTTAATAACTTGATGTCCTAGTTATTCTCACCTAATTTGCTTTTATATATGCTATTAATATTTTCTACAATGCAGTGTGTTTGAGATTTTTTTCAAGCTATGCATTTTTTAACATGATAATAAATGGAGAAATCAAAATGTTGGTTACTTTAAAAAAATTGTTTTTCGAAGCAGGATATAAACTTTTATAGAAAATATGATCACAGGTAAAAAGAATAATAAGAATAAAAGGGTGATTACTAAAGTCTAACCATAGTTGCACTTGAATCATTTCAACTGTGATATATTTTCTAACATTTTTAATATTTTTAATTTGATGGTGGAAACACTATTAATTTCTGGTTTCATTTTACCCTGTTCTTCCTCTTAGGTGCCTAAACAATGATATCCTGATTCGCTTTTGGTAAATCTTAATTACTTTTACCAACAGTCTCTACAATTAAGAGGCTTAAGGAGACACGCATTACTAAAATCAAAGCTGTTCATATCTGCTGCTTTCTCAGTGTAAGTAAAATACTCTTCAAATAGTAATAAGATATTTTATTAATTCATGCTAATAAAACATCTGTAAAACAGGAAATGCAAGTACTAAATATGGTTTGTTGCTTGTCAAAGATTAACAAATTTTTCTGGTAATGTGAGCATTTCACCCAATGTTCTGCTTAAGAGCAAAAACAGGTAATATTGACTGAGTATTTAAAGAGAAAGTGTTGTAACTTCTACAGAATAATGTCAATTTCATGTTGACTTTTGCAATTATGTTGATCCTGAAAGAGCCACATTTCTGAAACTTAGTCTTCTTCATTTGTTCACTACATATCTCTAATTATTTGAGAATGTAATTCAATTAATAAACAGATTATTCTTTAAAAGTCCTTATAATTTCTCTATTTTTAGCATAAACATGCAGCACATTTTAAAAAATATCTTTATCAAAACCTTTAGGCAGAGTAAATGAGTCTTTTGTATTTCTTATTAAGATTATACTAGAGGTGAAGATTGTAACATAGCAAGCATCCTTTTTCTGGATTTGGAAAGAAACCAGAGATTTAAAAAGGATTTAATATTGAGTTAAAATGTAAAGGATTGCTCTGTACTTATAGACCACAATATTCGTTCTGTAGGATTAATTTTGAGTTAAAATGTAAAAGGATTGCTCTGTACTTAAGGACTACAATATTCGTTCTGTAGTAATTTCCATAGCAATGGCAGTAATTTATTAAATTGTAACTAAATTGACAAAAAAGTGGCAAGCCTATAATGAAACAGACTCCTTGTCACCTGCTTGTGGATGGGCACTCTCCAGACATTGCTATCTAATTAAAATGTGGATTAAGATTTAGAAAATTAAGAAGTATGAACAAGCTATGGCGTAACATTTGTGGTTTCAGAGTTAAACACTGAGTTAAAAGGAGCTTTATTGCTGAATTGATGTTCAAATTGCTCAGACCGTAAGTATAGACTGGGACAAAGAAGGTATAAATTTGGGGATAGAAGAAAAAAATACTTTTTTGTTTTTTACATTATCTGAACAGTAGAGGTTAGGACAATGATTAAAAGGAGTAGCCAAATCTTTAGACATCCCTTGCTGAGCTTTTGAGCATTTTTTGTTTGTTTGCTTGCTATTTTATGATGTCAGTGTATTTGAAGTTGCCTCCGTTTCTTATTTCTAACATCAGATGTGTCTTCTCTGAGCAAACATCCAAATGACATTACTGTGGTAACCATGTACAACTCAGAAGTGATTTTCTACCATTTTTTCCAGGAATGATTTATTTAATAATAAACTCTTGAAAAACAGAAGCTACTTTACATATGCTTCATATAGCAATGTCCAGATCAAGCTATCATTTTTAGAGTCAGTACACAAAGGCATTGTTGACTTCATTAGGTGCAAATAGCAGCCTGTCTTTCTGGGTATGCTGGACATTTTCAGGCAGGAAATAATGAGATGGCCCAAGTACATAACACTCCTGCCTCAGCAGCAGAGCCAACTCCACAGTTTAGTTTATTCACTAAATGTGGTAACTCCAGCAGGGGCGGGGGCACCTCTGGGCCCATTGCACTGATCCTGTTACTTTTCTTCCTTAGTTTTATGTTGTAAACCAACTATCCCCGAGATTTATTTTCTGATCTTTTTTTACTATTTCATTTTCCATGTTGGATAAATAAGTTCAGCAGAAGCACATGTTTTGATGATTTTGCCTAGATTTGCTATATTAAGACTATAAATTGTAAAGAGACTCCTTTTTTTTTTTTTAAACTTTCAATGCACTCTTCTAGGATGAATTCCTAGAAGTCAGTAGAAGCTGTTGCTCTAATATCTTGTAGAGCCAGATGGGAATGGGCCCTATAAGGAGGAAATGTAAAAAGAATAGCTACTTCAAATGAGAGTTAGAAGTTTTTCATAAAAGACAGGACATAACGTAAGAATGCACTAGAATCTCCTGTAAATTTGTATTTGATGCTTGGCCAGTCTCTTTTTCTCTCTCTCTCATGATCTGGACCAATCTGAATTAGCTCATCAATATTTATTGATACCTACTTTGTGCCAGACACTGTTCTAGTTGCTTGAATTACATCCATAAATAAAACATATTAAAATACCTACCCTCCTGGAGTTTATATCTAGTAGAGGGAGACAGACAAACAATACACGTAATAAATACATTCTGCAACATGATAGAAGGTGGCTGGTGCTGTGGAGGAAAGAAATACAGCAGAAAAAGGAGGTCTGTGAGAAAAAAGAGGAGGGTCGCTGTTTTAAATAAAGTGGTCACAGTGGACTTCATAAAGAAGCTAACATTTGAGCAAAGACTTGAAGGAAGAAAAGGAGTTAGGTGTATGAATACCAGAGTGAAGAGTGTTCCAGGCAGAGGGAACAGCCAGTGGAGGGAACAGCCAGTGGAAAGGCATTGCAGCTGCAGCCTGCATGGCACGTTCAACGACAGCAAAGGAGGCTGTGAACTGAACAAGAGGGAAAGAGCAGTAAGAGGTAAGGCTGGAGAAGTGAGGACCTCACGTGCCATTGGCAGGGATGAAATGGGCTCCACCAACGGGCTGGCCAAGGGGTGGTAAGAAAGCATACGTGTGTATAGGAGAACAACTTCAATCATTATGCAGCCAAGGGCCAAATCTAGAACAACTTCAGTTGCAATAAAAAACCCGAAAGAAGCCTGGGGTTTCTCAAAATGTTTTTACTGTAATCCACAGTCAGAAATACATTTTTAGGATGACTTTGCAGTCACACAAAAGATACACACATTATTAAAACAAAGGTTTCATAAACCTACACACGTTGTGCCCAATGTATGGTAATATCTTTGGTACTATTCTAATCTATTAGGTTTCTTTTCTTTATTCAACCCTAATAAAATCTATTAAATTGATTTTATAACCTAGTAATGACACTTCAAAAAGCATTGCTATAGGCAATGTGATCATTTTGGCTATACGCTAACTGAATAACATAATCACATCATTGTCAACCCTGAGCACACTTTGGCTAAAAACCACATTGGGGCTAATTACTTTAAACAGAGAACCACCATTAGCTCATTAATCAAAATACAATGTATATATAAGATATTCTGCTTTCCTGACAGCTGTCATTATGTAAAAATATTGTGTGGGCTGGGTTACCATGAGGAAATGTAAAACATGTGAAATTCGGGTACATCATTTCTGACAGGCAGCCAATATTTATGGTAGTTGGCTGAAGAGATTTTACTTCAAATAAACAAATGTTTAATGTTTCCATAAACACATAGACATGACCCTAATTAGTAAATTTATTAATAGATTTTGGTTCATTATCTCCACACCAATCTTTAGATATATTTATTTTTAGAAAACAGTGAAAACTTTACAGCCGTGTCTCAAAATATTTTGAGAGTTTCTTAAAATGTTTGAAAGCAGCATGATTTTACGAGTGTATAAGCATTGGTACTTTTCCAAACTGTTAAATTGCCCTTTCAAAACTCAAAATTCATTTTCAACTAGATTCTGGTTTTAGATATTTTTTTCTGCTGCAGAAAGTTCTTAGATTTACCATAAGATGGGTTCAAGTTTTTTAATACAGTCATGTACTACGTGATGACATTTCATCAACAACAAACTGCATATATGACAGCAGTCCTGAAGAATATAATATTGTATTTCTACTGGACCTTTTCTATGTTTGATATGTTTAGATACACAAAGACCATTGTGTTTCAATTGCCTACAGTATTCAGTACAGTAACATGCTGTTCAGATTTGTAGACTAAGAGCAATAGGCTACAGCATACAGCCTAGGTATGTAGTAGGCTACACTATTTGGGTTTGTGTAAGTACACTCTATGATAATCACGCAACGATAAAATCACCTAATGATGCATTTCTCAGAATGTGTCCCTGTTGTTAAGTAACATGTTACTGTAGATCCATAAGAGAAACCTTAAAAGCATACTGTCTTAAGTATAAGAAAGTTCCAGAGTGATAAGTAAACTGGTGTGATTTACATAAAGAATATGAACACTTAAAAATGGTGCATATTGTATATGGAATTTATGTAGATATCCCATGACATAAACATGTATATGATATATATGTGTATATGAGATATGTTCATTATATATATTTCTGTGAATATACATATATATTATTTTTAAACTTGCCAGGAAAAAAAAATGTCCCTGACTTCAGAATAGTCATTACTCTTTGGAAGGGAAAACAGGCAATGGTACAAAGGCATCATTCACCTCTATCTATAATATTTCAAATTTTAAAAGAAAATATTTAAAGCAAATGTGACAAAATTTATCTCTACTTTCTGTATGTTTCAAGAAGAGCTTACTTCCTGATAGTCAGTACTGTAGATAGTCATTTATTTTCAAACAGAGACCAGATATAAAACACAACACCATGTCTTTAACTTGTAAAGAAGATAAGCTGGGAATACATGTTTTTAAAAACAGTTATATGGTGTGGACACAGTTTTCAGCAAAGAAAGCCTGAGTTCCTGTTTTCACTTAGGGTTGTGATAAAGGGAACAGACTTGAGTGGCAGACAGAGATTTAGATTAGATATTAGAAATAACTTCATATCTCTGCAAGACACTTAAGACTGCCTGGGGATTTTGAGAACAAGAACTTTGCTGAAACAGCTTAGGCCCTATCCTACTTGGAACTAGAAGAGATTATCAGTGTCCTAGTGGTCCTTTAAAATTTGAGATTCTGTCTGCCATTTCTATAGGCATGAAGATCTTAACTGATCTACTCAGACTCTACAGCAAGGCAGAAAGAAGGAAGTGGAAGAGAACTAAAACAAACAAACAAAAAAACTTGGTCCTCAGCCATCAAGAGCCTGTTCTAACATTAGAAGCTAATGGTACTCTAACAGGACAGTGGCAATGAAGGCCCTGGGGAGGGGAGGAAGGCAAAGAGGGCACCACTTCACTTGTACTCCAGTTATTTCTATCCATCAATCAGTACGCTTGTAGAGGAGCTTTCATCTTCCATATG